TTTTTTTTCCTGCTCCCGTATCTAATGTTTGACTTGTTTTTATTTTTTAATCGCATGCAGGCGCTGTGATTCTCTCTCTACAAACCACGGAGAATTTTTGTAATCAATGCCTTCGTCTACGAAAATTGTCTACGGCCTGTGTAGAAGAGCTTCAGGTTCCGGCTACCTCGCCATTGTGTCTTTCTGACTACTAGACTACCTTTGGTGTCTTCCACTACCAACCTTCAGAGTTTCATACTAAATCATGGAGCAACTCATTTTGATCTCACATTTCATTCATTTCACATTTCACAAGTACCCGCTGATACGCTATCTCCTGATGCTGTTCTAAATAAGTAACTCAAGTAATATCAAAACGAGCCACTAAAATGTCGGTGACTGAAGAAACGCGGGGAAGGAATGATCCGAGGACAGCAGCTGGAAATAGAAGGAACAAGAGACCTATTCCAGAGCTCACCTACGAGAGGAGTCCCTCTCGGCTTTTTGAAAGTGAAGCTCCACTAGGTGGCTTTTGGAAGGCGCTTTCGTTTTGCTAAGTAGATTATCAGAACCACCTCGAAAAAAGCCGCAGCTTATCGCAGCCGCTGTAAGTCCTAAGGGCAGTGTATAAACAACCAAGCAGTTCAATTGTGTGATTATCTGCTTAGACCGGCGTGGGACAACTTTCTGAATCGTTTTCATGACTTGCTGAATTAGGAGTTGTGATTGTGCACCGTAATGGATGAAATAATGCAAGGCCCCATTTTCACAGGCCATTGTTCTCACTCTGGCCCTATTATTGCTATTTCATTATCCTGTCGTCCACTGTCATAGTACAAACTTGCTAAGCTTTAATACTAGCGGGAGAAGTTCTTTTTTATCTCTACTGTTTTTCTTGATGGAAAAAATGTGAAAGCGAGATTCTCGGGCAAACTCGTTCCTATAGCTTGGCTGAGTGCCCAGCAGAATTGGCTTGACCAGTTACTTTTCGGTAAACATCACTGGCAGGTTCTCTATTTGTGCTCTTTATTTTCGAGTGTATACTTTCTTTTTATGCTAATGTTGTCATACTGAAACCTTTCGATGTACATCAAATTCTTCGCCATGGTGGGGGTGTTATCGTCATATTAGAAACCTTTCTGAAAGGTGTCATTTTGACTCCTTGATTGTATTTTTTGTAAAAAAAATTAGACAGTGTCCTATTGTTAGATATGCAGTTTTTGTTTACAAGTATGATTTTTCATCATTTTCAAGCTGACAGAAATCCAAGGTCGATACATTCCCAGAGCAACGAAGCGTCCCATCCCTTCAGGGTCGGTCAATTGTACTAGTCTCGTCTGGGACAATGCAAGAAACAACTTGAACATCGACTGGACACCGTTACTCATTGATTAGGCCACATATGGATTTAATAATACTACTGCGATTTTGAGTGGAACTCGAATATGGGTGTTTTCTTTTTATCTCGAGTTAAACCACTTGGAAAGGAAGGAGTGGGCGCATATTTTGGTGTCGGCAAAAAGTATGGGTGATTGTTGCCACCAATAGAAAGAAACCAGAAGACTTCTATCGACAAACCATAGTTTTTGCAACTGTTTTACGGGGGATAGATCAATTACAAGAATGGAGAGGCTAAGCGATGAGCGGAGAGGCTAGGCGGATGAGGTGAGCAGAATGAGACAAAGACTCTCAAAAGTCATCATCCAATGAGTCAACTTCTTTGAAAGGACAGAGATTTTAAAAGACAACTCTCAAAATTGAAATGAAGATAACTTTTTCGTTCCCATCCAAGCACATTTGATTGCCACATCCATCGTCCACCCTGTTAGGCGACAACTACTTCACTGAGCATTCTGTCCTAACTATTCTTAACCCATGTTCCGTACAATCCCCACTGCTTCAGAGATGATGAGTAGGACCAGCATGTAAATGAGCGGATGGAAGGGATGAAAGAAGGGGGGAGGTAGAACGGGAACCTCTCACTTGCATCTGGAATTTCACAACTCCAAAAAGTATCTGCACGGAGGTAAACAGAACTGCGTGACCCTTTTCTAGGATAGCGTGAGTGGTAGCAGCTCTTTTCCGTATTTTATTTTCATGTTTGCCACTCCTCACTCTTACTCTTCTTTTTTACGATTCCTTTTGATTCTAGAAGTTTGTTCGATCAACAACTCTTCTGTAGACATGATCTCTCTTTACTTATAGCCCCTGGTAACACACAATAGCTGAATTCTCTGTTTTTCATAGTAAAGGACACCGTTACCCTTTCAATCGAGGAATATTTATCACTCTCTCGATTTGCACGTCATACACGAGAGTGTTTGAGTACTCATCAGACCATATGATGAGTTAGGGTGAATAGTCGTCGAAATTTGCCGATTTTCCTCCCACTCCAATCTAGAAGTGAACAGATCTCAGATGGAGCCACGCATTTGGTCTGGCTTGGTAAGATTGTCGGAAGTATGACGATGTGTATAGACACTACGTTACGTGTGACTTTTCCATTTGAACACTGAATACTCCGAAATTCGGTTTTGGCCCAGGAACAAGCATTTTTATGAACATTTCTAGGCCTTTTTAAGAGTTTCACTATTTACTTTGAATTATCTGGCTTCTTTGTAATTCATCAGCTCACATTTACGTGTTTTTAGTGGGCGATAACGGCAATACCGCGACACCACTGTCATGTACACATGCACGCAACAGTGGGAATTCGCCTTCGTAGTCTGTAGATAGCTGCACGCAATAGCGCACACATTCGAACAGCTCGTCCAAAGGCCGAAGGTTCTCCACGCAACTTTGCGTCACATCCTCGTCCGACCACTGATTTGACTACTTTTCGAGGCCTTCCATCCTCCTAGTTAGCAATTTCTTCGCTATTTTTACTCTATTCTGGACTATCCCTTCCATTAGTCTTCTAAAACCGGATACCTAAAATTACCGTAAACTATGCCCTCGAGAAGAATTCCTTGTCATGCTGGTCTGGTTCTAGCAGCTGAACAAGTGTCTTATGAGGATTTTCAATCCTAGCAATAAGCGAGACTGATACCTTCCAGGCGTTTCCTTCTTATATATAAAGCAGTAACTTGGTTTGTCGGTTTGTCGGTATGTCGGTTTGTCGGTCTGTCCGTCCGGGTTACTTTGTGATTATGATAAATGTAGTGATATGGAAAACTTATTCTTCTCAAAAAAGCAGTCACTTCGTGGGTAGGCTAATAGAGTAAAGTGAGCGCTGCGGAGTGAAGCGAGTAATATGAAGTGAGGTGGATGGTTCAAATTGTGATCTCTACTGTACTGTAATGGCAGTACTTCGACACTGGTCTGAATATAAAGGACATAGTCAGCTGCTCCACATCTTGGCAACAAAATCAAAAGTCTAAGTGAAAGGGTAAGGATGTTTGAATGATACTGTAGAAGGAAGCTTCGTGCAAGTAAATTAGCGTTGTACAAAGGTGATGTAGCGAAAGAATCGGCCATTCTTGAATCGTTGTCTCACCGCACTCCATTGAGGTTGAGTGGCGCGGCGAGTGTGGGAGAGGGAGGGGCTATTCGGGACTGCTCAAAGCCACCAGCGGATGATAGGGTATGGCGATTTTTGGTTCAGGAAACACAACCGCAAGGGTGTGAGGCAACAGATGAATGAACCAGTTGGAATGGGGATACTTCGATTAGTAAGGGGTGTATGTGCCTCGTATCATTATCGGCCTAACAATGGACACCGTCTACTGCCTCTTATTGGAAGGATGTGGGATCTTGTACCCGTACGGTACGCCACGCTAGTTGCACTGTTGAAGTGAGAGAGTGAGAAATGAATTCTCGGTGGATGATTACAGTAATTCCCAGAAGCTGCGCCAACGAGCGTGTCGGTGACCGTGGGAATTGGGGTATAGAATCTGCCATTCCGATTTCAGCTGAGTTGCTGAGTTGATTTATCGCCAAGTTTGCTGGCAAATGGATAGTTCTCGTTAAGCAATGTTGATGGTGTAAATCATAATAAGGAGGTTTTTCATATAAGATAGCGTCATCCAACTAGGTAACTTATGAGTGACCCACCGTGAGATATGACTGTCTGCCAATATTACACGAGTTGAGACATCGTCGTAGATGCACAATGGCCCTTGAGTTAAGTATTTCGATTTACGAATTCCTTTTCAGTATGGCATTGTTTCACGTAATCAAGGCGGTGTTCATGATGATTTTGCTGCAAGTGGAACTCCAAACGTCAGTCGATGCCGCTATAGCAAGAGTAACCCAAACTGAGCAAGTTCCGAGGCCGACAAGAGCATGTCCATTGTCACCCTATGCAACGTTCCTAACGAGAGAGCAGCAGGTATGGGTGATTGCTGAAAGCAATCCTTCATTCAGCAGATATAAATACACCGGTACTGCATATGTGAAGGCCCTGTGGTGTCTGCAAATTACTTTTTTATTAAACGAGCTTGGCGTAGGTCATAGAAGAATTAGGAGTTGATTTTATGGATATGAAGCCCAAGCCTTCATTCAAGCCTACTGGACTGCAATCTTTTAGGAAACGCTTCATGAACTTGTAGTGGAAGCACGAGGACAAGGAGCCAATGAGCAGATGGTCAAGTCATACATAGACAAATACATTAGCAAAGTCTTACCGCCCAGAAGGTGAGTTCGAAGTCAGGATTTTGAAGGTTAGCTTTTCGAAGAGGGTGGGCAAAGTGGTCAGCCGAAAAAACTATTTCGGCTTGTTTCTACACGACCTTCCCAACAACTGAATTAGGGAGCGGGAGGGTAGAATGAGCTAGCTGGTAATCCAAAAAGGCGGCGGATTCGGGAAAGGGGGGAAGGAGGTTTCCTGGTCCTGATTCCTTTTCTTTCGTCAAGTGCATCATCGTCGCCATGGTTCACCCAAACACTGTCTACTCGAGGGGCAGCTGGCTGTTCACTGATGAAAGGGGGTCTGCCTCAAATTTAGAAATTGCTGAGAATTTTTCCGTTTTGGCAAGGTCAATGTGACTTCGGCTATACACGACGGTGCTTCCTGAAGTTACGTAGAAGACGTCCCCTGAATGCCTCCGAACATTTCAGAAAAGGCATATGAGTATGTTAGCGATCGTTGGTTGTCTCTTTCAGGTATATGGAGTTCCAGCAAGCGTTCCAACTATTTCAAGCAAATCGTCGTGGCAAACGAAGTCCACAAGGTTCTTCATTACAGAATATAGTGCTTTTGTCAAATCATCACCGCCCACTCAAGGAAACAGATGTTTTTAGAGAAGAAGCTTCCCAGAAAAGTTTTCGACCTGATCGATCAGTATTCTGGAAATAACGACGTCAACTATGCGGAATTCTACAAGGAGAATGTACGAAATTTGAAGCGGGTCTGAAGGAGAACAAGCATAAATATTTTTAAAATACCACAAAAAATAAATATTTCCTAATTATGAGTGTTTGCTGACCATCATGGTGAGGATGGGTGAGAATTAAACGTTGCCTTTTCCCTAGACTGACATTTCGAAAATGACAAGTTGAACACAGTAATATCTATGTATTGTTACTGTTAGGTTTCCTGTGCACCATGCTTTACAAAATAATAAACAAAAAACAATAAACAAGCAAATAAATATAGCAAAAGATTAGCCAAGGCAGTCGACACGTAAGGATGGGAGGGGACCCGGTGAAAATTAAATTGAGGAGGGAGGGAGGGGGAGGTCACACGTAAAAACGTTAGAATAAAATTCTGGTATAACAAGTAGCTAACACGGTTCTACGTGTTTTCACGTGTTGTTTCGTGTAATACCAGGAATATACAATTTTTTAACTAACCTAAGCTTCAGGAGGGAAGGAGTACAGGGGTGGGCGAGTTCTCAGCTTTTTGCATGAAGTAACCATCTCACCCACCTAGGTGCTCCTACCCTTTTGAGGCTCAGGTAGAGGTTAAATTCCATGGCTAAAACCGCACAGGAACGCCCAGATAGCCGGTGCCCATCCTTCTTTTTGTGTCTGATACGGTGCTAGTGTAACACGGATTAGCACGTAACAACTTGTTAATTTCTCGTCACACTATCACCATTATGTGAGCCGTCGCCCCTCTCTTTCTCTCTCCCTATAATTACATTTTCACCGGGAACCCATCCGGGAGAGGGACGGGAGACGGAGCAGTGAGGGAAGGGCCAGTAAAATAACATCTGAGTTCTTTTGAACAATTGCGAACAAGAAAGCTAACAACTTGTTACGACTGATGGCTCCACCGCTCTCCAGAAAGAGAATAAGGTATATCGAGAAATGGGAAATACATGCGAATGATATGGGTAAGGGTACAATCGACACTTACCCTTTGGAAGGCGGTCGAAGTGTGGAGCAAGGTGGCTAGCTCACCTCTTGAACGCTTTAACAGCTCGGAGAAGTCTGTCACGTTCGTGGAACTATCGGTTTCCTCCAAAAAGTGGAATGAGGTTGAATGTGCATACTATGAATTTGTAGCTAGCCTTCTTGGAGCTGCGGGAATCAGCTTCATTCTTGCAGTTACGATTCGTTGCCATAGTTTGAAAGATCCACCATCGATATTGTTTGAGCCACTAGAGAAGTTATCCAAATTGGCACAATGCCAAGACCATTATCTCTTAATATGATTGAAGATTCGAACGGAAGGATCCACTCAAAATTAAGAGAAGGGCTTCAGAATGTCCCTACGTGAGGAGCTGGGTCATCACCCAGATTCCTTCAATAATTATTCATTAGAACGCTTTTCCTGGCCTTCAAGGAAAACCAATGTTGTCTGAGATACTGATACCCCCTTTTTTCGGTGGCCATATCACGCACATAAAAGTCAAGTAGCTGGTGGGTTCCGTTACTTTCTCCCTTTTGCAGCTGGTCGTTGGTGTGTTCATTCAGGCTATGGTCATGGTTGCCGAAACTAATGAGGAATTTCCAGGAACCTTGAAGAGCAATGCCTAAGAAGTCGAAATCCAAGCACCCCAAAGAGGGAGAAGGGGGAAAAGAACCTAGAAAGAAGAAGAGCAAGGACAAGAAGAAGAAGGAGAAGAAAGAGAAGAAGCCAAAAAAGTCGTCTAAAGTGGAGCAAAAAGGTAAGGCGGGCGGCTTCGGTAGTAGGTTCAAGAAGTCGAAATCGACGGATAAAAAGAAAAAGGGATCGACATCGGAGGAGAAACAGTCTGGCAGTTCGATGTCGAATGTTCAGAGCACAGATACAGGTACAGGACCCGGAGGTCCTACAGAAACTGACCCCGCAAAAAAATTAGAAGAAGGGAAGAAGCCTGACGGTGCATTACAGCCACCTCAGGGTACTGATACCGCTCCAGGAGCAGGCACTGCCACGGGAACCGCGCCTCCTGCAGGAGCTGAAGCAGGTACAGGAACAGGCACTGGTACTGGCGCTGCTCCTGCAGGTGCCGATGCTGCCGCGGGAAGCGGCACAGGTACTGGCGCTGCCCCTGCTGGCGCTGCCCCTGCAGGAGCTGACGCAGCCGCAGCAACCGGCACTGGTACTGGTGCTGCTCCGGCAGGAAACGACGCTACTGCGACAAGCGGTACTGCACAAGAAGAAGCTCAAAAGAAAGTCGATGCAGCAGGTGGCGAAAAAGGGCCGAAAGAAGGATCGAAAAAGAGTGGCAAAGGTTCGAAGAAGAGCGGTAAAGGCTCTAAGAAAAGTGGCAAGGGTTCGAAAAAAGGCGAAAATGAACCGAAGGAAGCTGAGGAGAAAAAGAAGGGCGCTGAAGTTCGGAAAAGTAAAAGTAAGCAGGGTATAATGAAACCAATAACAGATCTTGTGCAGAAGGTAAAAGGTAAGACAAAGAGGGATCATGCGAAGAAGTCGGCGGAACATGCGTCGAGAGAGGAAAAGAAAACATCCAGCAAAGAAGGCATTGATGTGAGTGTGCATCTCATTTGCTGATTGCGTACGAAAATGGATAGTATATTTCAGAAACCGGACATGCTATGCTCACACTGGCCTCGGGCCGCATCGAAGAAAGACGTTTCTCGCATAATTGCGGTCATTCGTTCCGCTGAGAGAGTCGACCGAGTGTTTGGAGCAGATTGGACACGTACAGAGGCACCGCATGGATATGTGAGTCTCCTGTTCTACACCTCACTGGATGTTGGCTTGAACTCGAAGGAATTACTGGGCATTTGTTTTCTAGCAGATACTGATAAGTGAGCGGTAGGTACTGATAAATCACATAGATGATATATCATCAATCAACAGGAGCCGACCAAGCAATGACCGCCCCAGATTGGAGAAGGCCAAAAAATGAATCCCTTAGCGGTTCTTGTTATTGCTCTGGATAGGGGGGCTGGATTTATTTGCTTGCGATGTAGG